GGCTGCAGATTGTTAGAGAGAAGGTTCAGGCTGGACATCAGGAGACATTACTTTACAGTTAGGGCTGCCAGGCTCTGGAATGGGCTCTCAAGTGAGGTGGTACTCTCTTCTACCTTGTGGGTCTTCAAGAGGAGGCTGGACAGATATTTGGCTGGGGTGGTATGACCCTGGCACCCATTCCTGCCCGGGGCAGGGGGTTGGACCTGAAGATTTGTTAGGTCCCTTCTGACCCTAAGAACTATGGATGCTATGAAAATAATGACTGGGAAAGGAAAGTTCCATTTACCTTTTGTCATGATAAAAGTTCAAGCAGACAGTGAATAAAATGAAAAAAATAATACAGTAAAAAATGAATAAAGCAAATACTTTTCTACATGGCATATAACCAGTGGAACTCATTGTCACAGGATATTATTGATGCTGAGATATTAGTAAAATCAGGCTGTTTACTTAAAAGTATATATATGCATTTATGTAAAAAATAAGAATATAATTTTAATATTATTATCTAAAATAAGTGTTATAGGAATATCAACTAGGATATTTCAGCACATAAACCATAAACTGCTGGACATTGAAACATTCCTAAACAGACATGATGTTGCACATTTTTTCATTAAGGGTCTGTCTACTTTCTGTTGAGAATTTGGTACTGTCCACTGTTCGGCTCAAGAAACCTGACCAGCTAGACTGTTTTTCTGAATTCTTATATTTCTAATCTTCATGTACCGATAAGTAGTAAAAATACATATGCATTAATTAATGTGTAACATTTATGTCTGGTTTAGAGCTGTGAAAAATTAATTATATTTTTTAGGATTTTCCCTTTAAATATAATGCTTTTTTGTTTTCTGCTCTTTATCATTCCCTAGATTTAGTTCAAGTGAATTGTTAACTGTTTTTAGTCCAGATTCTTAGCTGGTAAAAATTGTCATAGATTATTCAAAGCAAATAAAACTAAGTGCATACCAGCTGAAACTCTGTCCCCGCTTTTCTCATCTCCTCCTTTTCATCTTGAAATCACATATAAAATCTGATTTAAAAAAATATTTTTGATGCAAAACTGTTTGGATAAAAAAACAGGTAATTTTTTATTGAAGCTGGGTGCATTTTATGTTGAAAATAGGTCAGTTTTCACTTCAATGTGCATCTCGTTGCTTGAAAAAATAGATATCTTTTTACTTTCTTGCAAAATTGACAGAAAACACTGGTATTAAGTTGGCAGCTGCTATCAGTATTTTCTTGCAACTTTTTGGTCTGCTAATTGAAAGGTGAGACTATAATAATTGCATCTCTAGAAGATGAATTATGGATACATTGAATCTAATATTCCTTTCTCTTTTTTTTTAGAATTCGTAAATTGCCTAAAGCACTGAAGGAATGGCAGGCTTTTTATGACCTCAAAAAGAAGATTGATGATTTCACTGAGAGTTGTCCTTTGCTTGAAATGATGGCAAATAAAGTCAGTTCAGCATAATTCTTTAAAGATGAGATTAATTTGAAAATTTGTATATAAAAGAATATTTTATGAATATAAGATGTTTTCAACCTTTTTGATTTTTGTAAAAGATCAAAACAATTTTATGCAGGGTAAGATCTGATACGGTATAGTTATAGAAAAGTGGAAACAAAAGGCTTCATGGTTTAGTTCCATGAATGGTAATTACTTAAATGGAATGAAGATTTATATTATTCTAAGTGTGTGTGTGTGTTTTAAAAAAATATCTAATTACTTTGGACTTTTCTAGGCCATGATGCCAAGACACTGGGAAAGAATTGCACAAGTAACTGGACATATCTTTGATATTAACTCTGAAAGTTTCTCTCTGAAGAACATAATGGATGCCTGTTTGCTAAAGTATAAGGAAGATATTGAGGTAGACACACATACCGTTTTTAAATATTGGCTTTGTGATCTGGGATTCACTGCTTTTCAGTTTTCTTCATTTCTATGTAGCTTTGTAATGCAAACAAATATGACTTTCCTTATAACATTCATTTGAAGCATGGAATTTGACAGCTGATTATAACAACAGTATTTAGTTTACCTCCTTTGATTGAACATATAAAAACATTCTCTTAGTCTGTGGCTTGTTCTCTTACTTTGTGACTCTAGTGGTAGCAGTGCATGCTGGTGGAGTTGAAGGCCACAGGTTCAGCCCCAGCCCTTAACTCTTTTTCTAGTGATCTGTGCACTAAATCCAACCTGAAGGGCCATTGACCCAATTCTGGTCATAGGCTGTAAAAACAAATCCAGCTGATCCTGTCATCACACAAAGGGTGCTTTGCAGGGAGGATGAGAAAGTTTGATGGAAAGTTGTATGAGAGCCACAAACTGAGTCTGAGGGCCCTGCCACATATTCCAGTGACAGCTGGATAGAAACCAGCTCTAGAATCGTTAGTCTCCCACAATATTCTTGCAAAGAAGCTGTAGCAGGCTTACCTTTCAGAGCTTGGGTTGAGTCCCAGGCTTGAGATCCTGCTGTTTTGACTGGTGGAGCCCATCCACCAGTCAGGAGGCAGCAAGAGAAAACCTCAAGCCCCCTTTTCTGAGGAGAGGGGGAGAAGAGCTCTTCCAGACCTGATTGAAGACTGCAAACTGTCAGGTCCAGAAGACTTCAGGGATGGAGTCCTGGAGCATATAAAAGGAGCTGCATGCCCAGCACAAGGGAGATGAGTCAAGGACTGAGAGGAGAGAAGAGCGGGGTTTAGAAGAGCTGAGGAGAGCTGCAAAGCAGGGCGAAGCAGTAGCCCAGGAAGAGCCCCTGAAGACTTCTATCAGCAGGGAGCGGGGGATGGCTCTAGTGGTTAGGTTCTCAGTGCACAGCACAGCACAAGGTGTCCAGACCCTGGGAACTGCGTGAAGCAGCTTGGGTCTGCGACCTGTGGTGTGTGGCCAGAGACATGGTGCACAGGCCGGTGCATGGAGCAGGACCTTTGGAGCCCCTGGGGCAGCTCAGGTCCTCAACCCCCAGAGTGAGGCTGGGAGCTCAGTGCAGGAGGTGCTGCATGGAGGGTGAGAGACCCTGGGAGCTGCTTGAGGTGGATCGGGTCTACAGCTGCTGACACGGAGCTGCAGCTCAGTGCAAACGACACAGCCCAGAAGGTCCGGGAACAGACCAAGCCCCAGTGCTGCACAAGGCTGTCCAGGCCTCCAACCCCTAGCATAAGGCGAAGCACCCACTACACACAGCGGTGCCTGTGGGCCTAAGCCAGGATGGCGGCAGCAGAAAAAAACCCAGCAGGGACAGAGCTTGACCGGGAGAACAAGAAGGAACCCTCCGGGACTGCGGAGTAATAGTAAGTTACCCTGGAGAGAGGGTCCCCACAGGGGAGCACCCCCCCGCCCCAAACTGGGTATGGTATATCTGTGTATATATATATATATTATAAGGTTTATTGTTTTGTAAACTTGTACATAGATTATATATATATGTCCTTACACTTTAATGGTTTTGTTGTGATAATAAATCTTGTATATAGTAAAGTAATTGATTGACTGGATCTGACTCTATAGGGGACACAACAGCCATAGGGGACAGCACGCTGCCCTGCCAATAATTCCCTCAATTGGAGAGGGAAGTACAAACCCATGTACACCCGGGCTACAAAGCTAAGAAAGTACAGGTTGGATGAATGGACTCTAAGGTGGCCAGAAAACTGGCTGGACCATTGGACTCAAAGGGTAGTAATCAATGGCTTGATGTGTAGTTGGCAGTTGGTATCAAGTGAAGTGCCCCAGGGGTTGGTCCTGGGGCCTGTTTTGTTTCATAATTTCAATATCTTTATCAACAGTCTGGAGAATGGGATGGAGTGCACCCTCAGCAAGTTTGTGGATGACACAAAACTACATGGCATAGTACATAGGCTGGAAGGTGGGACTAGGGTTCAGAGAGCCGTTAACAAATTGGAGGATTGGACCAAAAGAAATCTCATGTGGTTCAATAAGGACAAGTGCCAAGTCCTGCACTTAGGATGGAACAGTCCAGGGCCATCCCTAGGCAGGGGGTGAATCAGGGTGACTGCCCCGGGCCCCGCGCTTTGGGGGGCCCCACGGAGCCAGGTTGGCTTCACATCAGGTCACTCACCACCCCCCCAACCCCTGCTGCTGCCATGTCTAGCCCCTGCACAGGCTGATTTGCGCCAGGCCCCACACCCTGCTACGGTCATCTCTGGAACAATCTCATGCACCAGTACAGGCTGGGGGCTGACTGGCTGGGCAGCAGCTCTGCAGAAAAGGACCTGGGAGTTACAGTGGGCAATAAGATGAATATGAGACAACAGAAACAAAACCTTGTTGTCATGAAGGCTAACCGCATGCTGGGCTGCGTTAGTAGGAGTGTTGCCAGCAGATCAAGAGAAGTGATTATTCCCCTCTATTCAACAGTGGTGAGGCCACATCTCTGTTGCCCTGTGGGGTGAGGCCAACTCTCAGGATCTCAATATTGCGCTGTTATACAGGAGGGTGTGACACAATTGCTCATATACAAACACACAAATCAATTAGGTACATACACGCACACACTACCAGCTCTGGCACATACACACCTATCACCAATTCAAGTACATATACTATACACCCCAAAAGTTAGACACAGATCACTAATTCATATATCATGCATACAATGACGTGTGTGTGTGTATATATATATACATATACATACACACACACACTCACCAGTTCACACACATACAACCCACCTACACACAGGTAAGTTCCTAACTTGGATGGTACAGTGTGTATGTGTGTGCTTGGGGTACCTTGGACACTTGGGGGAAGGTTCAGGTGAGAGAGAGAGAGTTAAAGCGTAGGGAGTGGAAGTTGCCAGAACCGGGATTAGAACTGGTGGACTACAGAGAAGCTGGCTGAGGAACTGAGGCTTGGGTTTACTCAAGGTAGACTGGGGTTGGAAACTGCAGCAGAGAGCTGAGATATTGGGTGGGGAGGACAGATAAGTGGTGGCAAGGAGGAGACAGCCAGGAAAGAAACTGAGGCAGAAACCTAGTTGCTCAGGTGAAAAGGAAAAGGCAATGGGGATAAGACAGTGGCAAAGAAACAGGGGGTTTGGAGGCAGAGAGGAGCTCAGGACAGGTGTTGGAGGTGGCAGTGAGCCAGAAGCAAGAGAGGGAGAAATGAGACTGAAGTTAGAGGGGTGAGGAGCAGAGATTGCAGCAGGGCCAAACCATAGTAAAGCAAAACCCAACTTAGGGGTCCACATAACAGTTTTATTAAACAGACAACACTACACAGCCCCAAGAAGTTATTGGTTCTCACACACACACACAAGAACTTACAATGGCAGCAGGAGAAAGAGACTCAGTGGAAGGGCTGGAGTCCAGGTAGGGAAGAGAAGCAGAGTCCAAGTCCTTGGTTGAAGAGGGGTTGGGGTGCTGGCTACCTATCCAGGCTGGAAAGGGGTCCTTGTCCAGTAGGTGTTGTCCAGAGGGGGGTTGCCAGCAGGGCCTCTGGGTGGATAGGTGGTGTGGCATGGTGCTGGTCCAGGTGAAGAGGGCGTCCCACTGGGTCTGCCTTCACTGCCCCTTTTTATAGGGGCAGACCTTGTGTGACCCTAGTGATAGGAGGCATACCCAGGCAAAGGTCAGCCCCTGGCATACTGAGCACGTGTGCTCCATGCAGGGATGTGCAGTTTCGGGTGTCTGTAATGGTGGAGTACAATGGTAGAGTTGCTGGTTCTGCAGGGTCTTTTGTCTTTCAAATGCTGGGTTCTTGTCTCTGTTCCTGGGTGAGGTCCATGGTTCCTGAATAAATCAATGCGAGGTGATGGCCTGGTCATTACAGGCCATTCAGTAGAGGCCTGCTACCATTGTATTTCAGTCATTCCCAATCACTCTCATTCATCCAGGAACCAATTTACATGGGAGGGGTACATGAATCATACAGTTGCAACACAGGGGATGCCCGGGCAGAGGACAGAAGATGGAGGCTTGACATACAAAATGGAAACTTGACATAATTTACGCTAACTTACATATACAGGCCTAAAACAGTAATCACACAATATAAAAGCAGTACAAACATAATAATTATCACTTATAAAACAGTGCGTATCAATATCAAAATAGCAGGGAACTTATTTGCAAAGAGGGGAGAGAAAAATAAAACTTACTACCTAAAATAAAATGTTAAAGCTTATCCTACATCTTAGCGTACTTGTACTTATCTATAGGGAATAGAGAGGGAGAGAAAAAGTCAGAAATGGTTGGGGAAGGGGAGGGAATGCATTTTAAAATAAATAAAAAAAGAAAAACTGGGGGTTTTGCTACATCTGGAGTACAGGTTTAGGTTAGATACTGGAGAAAAAAATTCTCACTAGGAGGGTAGTAAAGGACTGGAAAGGGTTACCCAGAGAGGTTCTGGAATCTCCATCCTTAGAGGTTTTTAAGACCTGGGTAGATAAAGTCTTGGCTGGGATGATCTAGTTGGGGATAGTTCTGATTTGAGCAGGGGGTTGGATTAAATGATCTCCTAGTGGTCTCTTCCAATCCTAATTTTCTATTGTTCTATGATTCTAAAAATGAATGGCTGATATAAATCTGGCCCTTCTAAAGAATTCCTTTTTTTACTATTTATAAGACTAATTGTGTTCTTTTATTGCTACTTATTTATAGTGTTGTTTGTCTTTGAAGAGATCAGTCTTTTTTTAGGCGTGATCCTGTGAGACACTGGGTGCATCTACACATGACGCAACGTTGCCATAGCAACGCACTATGGGGACCTAGCTTTGGCAGGCACAAACCGTGATGCTGCAGCTACATCGCTGTAGCAATGCTCACCCTCAGTATACTGTGTTGCTATGGTGACATGTTGGTTAAAAATAACTGTGCGATGCTGGCACAGCGCAGTATGAGCTATCAC